TACCTAGGCTAACTGCAATCCTGTCAAGAGTCCATGGATAACCTTTTAATCGTAAAATCCTTAATGCAATCATGATGATTATGTATTAAATATTATTCTCTTGCCTTGTCTTGGTGGCTGTAAGTGCTGTTTGAACTTTAAGGAATGAGATCCCCTAGTTTCTTTGTGCTTTCCATTCTCTAAGGACATTAACCTGAGTGGACATCTTCTACCTGTCCACAGCCTCAAAGTCAAAGCAGGCTCCGGGATTTGAGGTTTCTCTCTTAGCAGATTTCCTTCTTTCAGTTCAGCCACCCTATCTGTGTTAAAGCAAAGTTCTTGGTATGAGACAAATGTGCTATAGTAATCATAATTCTACCAGAAACCAGTTGTCACATGATAATTTTTCCAAGGTCAGAATAAAAATTTTGTGGTTTGTCTATTTTTGACAGATAAGTGACAGGCATATATTATCATGTTCTATCCTTCATGTGTGTTATATAAAACATATATATTTCATCTATTTGTGACATATCTCTATCTAAAACGTTTGCATGAACATATACACACGCATATATTTTAATCACTCTTTATGCGATAATATGTTTTTACAATGCTGTCTTTTATTACTAATTAAAGGCAATTTATAGAATATAATATGCTTTCACATTCAGGATATGAGACAACTTAGCAGATTGTAGCATTCTGTGCTAGAATCTGCCCATCTGGGTTAGATGTCAGTTAAAGATTTTGGCTGTTTCTTTTGGTTCAGGGTGCTTCTCTTATTTCAGTGGATGTATTCGTAATTTTCAGTAGACTCTCAGTTCTAGTAAAGTTGTGGTGATATTTTCACCTACTCAACTATTTTTCTTGGCACCAGGCTCCATCTCCAGTCTCTTTCTGTGGGCTGGGTAATGACTGCAGGAGCAGTCACTACCCACTAGTACATTCTGATAATAGACCAACAAGTAACTGAAGGAGACTCTTGTTAAGTACTGATTGTTTAAGGAACAACCTGCAGAGTATCAGGTTAGTTATTTTTTTGTGATGAGTAGAAGAGAAAGACTAGGTAAGCAGTCTCAGTGAGAATGGTGATTAAAGTTGGATTGCTAGATGAGAAGCAGAGGAAAGGGCCATACACGGGAATGGGAGTAATAGAAGGAAGGGAAAAACAGGGTGGATATGTAGGGATTTGACCTCATGACAAACTGAAAGGAGGAGAGAAAGGTATGTAGTAGATATCACAAACTAAGTCTGGCTCTAGGCTTTGGGAATATAACAGTAAGAAAGATGGCGATGGGAAAAGGGAAACAAAACAGAACAAACAATAAGAAAGAAAGAAAGAAAGAAAGAAAGAAAGAAAGAAAGAAAGAAAGAAAGAAAGAAAGAAAGAAAGAAAGAAAGAGAAAAGAAAACCAGAGCCAGAGTGAGAATGAGAGTAAGAGAGTGAAACAGTAAAGAGATAAACAGCACAAGACAGTGTTGGCCTACTTCACTGACTCACTGTCCTATAAGAAACAGCTGTTTGGAGCAGAGCTGGATAGAACTATAAGATAATAAAATGACTGGCTTGAATGTTGTTTACTTCTTGGCAGACCTGTCACATTGTTTCACTGTCCTGGTCTGGAATACCTTCTAGCTGGTTGTTACTGGCCCTACTCTTGTCTCATGGATCCCAGCTGCCTTCTGTGTGATAATTATTGGACATGGTTGCTTGGGAGGATGGGAGAAACATTTGCAAAATGAGGATGAATGGAATGGAGTTGATGGAGAAGGCAGAATAAAATCAGATGATTTATTTTCTGAAGCATCCCTCCTGCTAAAGGTGGGCATGGGACATTTGAGGGCATTGATAGGACAACCACGTGGGTATGGAAATAAGCATGAATATTCTTGTTTAATATTTAACCCTTCAAAAACTAAGTTGCTTTTCTTTTTTGTTCTTTTTTCCTTTTTCCTTTTTTTTTTGTTCATTTTATAACCCGATTGTAGCCCCCTCCCTCATCTCCTCCTGCTTCCATCCTATCTCCCTCATCCCCCCCATCCCCTTCCCCCAGCCCACTGAAAGGGGAAGTTCTCCTCCTCTGCCGTCTGACTTTAGTTTATCAAGTTTCATCAGGACTGCTTGGATCCTTTTCCTCTGTAGCTTGGCAAGTCTGCATCACCAGGGGGAAGTGATCAAAGAGTAGGCAACTGAGTTCATGACAGAGGCAGCTCCTGCTCCACTTACTCTGGAATCCACACGGAGACTGAGCTGCCTACCATATGAGCAGTGGGTCTAGGTGATTTCCACAAATGGTCCTCGATTAGTGAATCAGTCTCTGCAGGGCTCAGATTATTTTTTTTAAGATTTATTTATTTATTATTTATTTATACAGCATTGTACCTGCATGTCTGCCTGCGCACCAGAATTAGGTACCAGATCTCACTATAAATGGTTGTGAGCCACTACGTGGTTGCTGGGAATTGAACTCAAGACCTATGGAAGAACAGCCAGTGTTCTTAACCTCTGAGCCATCTCTCCAGCCCAGGGCTCAGATTATTTAGCTTTATTGATCTCCTTGTGGAGCTCCTGTCCCCTCCATGTCTTATCCCCAACCCCACTTCTTTCATAAGACTCCCTGCACTCTACACAAAGTTTGCCTGTGAGTTTCAGCATCTGCTCCTCTGTTGGGTGGAGCCTTTCAGAGGACCTCTATGATAGGCTCCCCTCCTGTTCCCTCTCTTCCACTGCTTCTGGTGTCTATGCTGTTTGCCATTCTGACGGAGATTTAAGTATCTTCCCGAGGGTCCTCTTTGTTATTTAGCCTCTTTAGGTCTGTAGGTTTTAGTATGGTTATCTTATATTATATGGTTAATATTTGTTTATAAGTGAGTATATATTGGGAATAGCACTGCCTCAAGATCGGTTATACCACTCCTGGGCATATACCCAAAAGATGTCTCACCATTCAACATGGATATTTGGCCAACTATGTTCACAGCAGCTTTATTTGTAATAACCAGAATCTGGAAACAATCTAGATGTCCCTCAGTGGAGGAATGGATATAGAAAGTGTGGTATTTTTACACAATGGAAAACTACTCAGCAATTAAAAACAAGGGAATCATGACATTTGCAGGCAAATGGATGGAACTAGAAAAGATCATCCTGAGTGAAGTAACCCAGAACCAGAAAAGTTAAGTTGCTTTACAAAATTAGAAATTTCCATAAAAGATAATTACTAAGTTTATAAAAATAAGCATAACAGATTGTTAGGGGAAAAATGTGCCATACCATTTAACAAGCTTATACTCATTATTAGAATTAAGTACCTGTAATAAATAAGAACAATGATCCATTAGTATTGATTTGGATACTTCACAAAGATAATTGCTCATTGCAAAGTAATAGAAATGTTCAGAAATCACATACATACATTAATAGAAACAGGATCAACTCCCTTCTCTGTACTCTTGCAAATAAGGCATGGCTGATGGAGTCTATTTTAAGCTATGTTTCTGATGTTATCTCTTGACCTTTTCTATTACAGTTATGCACCTTTTTGGATTAGTTTAAGCTAATGAAGAAAATATAAGATAAATTCTTTTAGCTTTAGTCACTTGGTTAGCAACTTAAATGCCATCATCTATTACCTTAATCCTCTATCAATACATGACGCACATACTCACACTCTGGAAATTAAGAAGTTTACATTGGAGGGGGGAAGAAAAGGAGGGAAAAGGGGCTCCACAAGATGACCAACAGAGCCAAGTAACCAGGGCCTGGGCTTGGAAGTGGAGGGGGTGTGATAAGACTGAAGCACCAAGCAATGACCATGCATGGACTGGAACAAAGCCCCCTTGTGCATATGTACCCGAGAGGCAGCTTGGTCTTCATGTGGGTCTGCTAGAAAGGGGAGAGGGCTGTCTTTGACATGGTCTCTGTTGTGTACTTTTTGATCACTTCCCCCTGGTGGGCCTGCCTTGCCAAGACGCTGAGAAAGAGGAAGTGCTCAGTCCTAATGCAACTAGATGTGCTGAAATAGGTTAGTAGTGAGAACCCCCTCCCCTTTTTTGAGGGCTAAAGGAAGGGAGATATGGTGATGAGGGAGGGAGGGGAGGAACCAGGCAGAGAGAAAAGAGAGGGTTATGATTGGGATGTAAAGTGAATAACTAAATAAACATTTTTTTTTAAGTTTACATTTATGAACTCAGTGGCTGGCTCTTTGACATCCCTCCCCACCTGAGGGAAGAGCAGCCCTGCTAGGCCACAGAGGAGGACTTTGCAGCCAGTCCTGAAGATACCTGATAAGCTAGGGTCAGATGGAAGGGGAGGAGGTCCTCCCCTATCAGTGGACTTGGAAAGAGGTAGGGAGAAGATAAGGGAGGGAAGGTGGGATTGGGAGAGAATGAGGGAGCAGGATATAGCTGGGATACAAAGTTAATAAGCTGTAACTAATATTTAAAAAATGAAAATTTAATTTAAAAAAAGTCCATCTCAGTCTCAATGTGAATTCCCTCATAAAAGAAGCAGAGCCTATCTCTGGCATGAACTCAGTGGCTGGCTCTTTGATCACCTCCCTGTGGGAAGACAGCCTTGCTAAGCCACAGAGGAAGACAATTCAGCCAGTCCTGATGAAACCTGATAGGCTAGGGTCAGATAGTAGGGGAGGAGATCCTCCTGTATCAGTGGACTAGGGAAAGGGCATAGGGGGAGAAGAGGAAGGGAGCATGGGACTCAGAGGAGATGATAAGGGAGGGGGGCTACAGCCCAGATACAAAGTGAATAAATTGTAACAAATAATAAATAAAAAGAAAAAAATCATGTTAAATAGAAGTCCATATCAATTGAATCATCTGTATATTATTTTCTGAGTCCCTTTAGCTAAAGTATAATATACTTTATTTTCATGTCCCATTTAATAAAAATAAAAATAAAAGAAAGAAAAGAAAACAAAGTAAAAGTAGTTTAAGGTGTCTTAGAAAATACTGTTGTACACATTGTGTGTAATCTAAAATTCTGTTATTTTTTTTTTCAGGAATGGCAGTAAAAATCTTCTTGTTATGGTTTGTTGGTGCTGCTGTTGCTGCTGTCCTTGTACTGTCTCTGCCTTACAGAGTATGTACAGATTGCATGCTACAGAACTTTATTTTATAGAAGAATAACAAACAACCCTGTGATGAAATGATTTCATATGCACTGCTCTGAGAAGGCTGTATCTGTTACTTCCTGTCTTCACTGAATAATGCTGTTAAACAAGTCCTGTTCTTAATACAGCGGAAGCAAGGATGGAACCAAAGAATAGGAATAAGCCATCAAGTTTAGATGACTAGAATTGATGGGGCTCCAAGTTCAACTTTCACTTTAACCCCTTGTTTCTAAACAATCAGAAAAATAAATAAACAAAAGGATGAAGGCTACGAAAGAAAGAGAGAAAGGAAATGAGCAATGGAGGGAGAAAAATAATGAAAGCATAGACAAGTACTTCTCTACAATTTACCCATGTGTTTTCATGACTAATAGAAGCAAATAGACTAACAAACACGGTTATTATTACTTTTCCTCCCAGATAACCGTGTCCTCAATTACATTACACCATTTATGATTTTAAGAATGTTATACATAAAAATTAAATATGAAATTGAAAGGTACAACTACAGAGATGTGTGAGAGAATCAGCAATGGAATCAATATATGATGCCTGGATCTGTTCGCTTATAAAAATAAAACCTTTGGTCTAATGATATACTTCAGTGTTACAACACTTCTCTTTTATGTGTATGTCCAGAGTTCAATCCTTATGACCACAAAAAGTTGACAATGGCAGAGATGATGATGGTGTTAATAATAATGATTACTTCAATGATCACAGAACAAAAACAACATCCTCAGTGGTATAAAAGATGAACTGTCTTACAGTTTGTGGTCAGTGATCATAAACAGTTTGTGATCTTTAGCAACTAAAATAGGACAAGAAAAACAACATGCTCCTTAATATAGTTTACCTAATTGTATAATGAATTAAAATCACTCATTCTGTTACAGAGCTAGACTGTGTGTATGTGTGTGTATCATCAGACAAAGGGATATGTTGAAAGTGGTAAAACTTCACATATTATTTTTGAGAAATTGCTGTCGTCAGCTGCTGGAGTCATGGATTGGTATGAGTATGGTATCACCTCCACCATGATGTCCATGACCCAAAGATCTTCTAGGATGCAGATTATTGAAGGCTTATAGAAGGCTTCTTCTTTCTTTCCTCTGATTCTCTGCTTATTTTTCTCTCCTTTTGTGGAGGGACATCTCCCAACCAAAACCAGAGCTCACACCAAGTACAGTATGCATTGCTAAGTGACAACAACAAAAAAAGCAGGGAGTTAGAAGCCCATGTTTACCTTCATGATCTGGTACTCTAGGTTACTACAATCCAATTCTGGAAAAATCATGAAAGAGAGTATCTGCCCTACCAGAGTCAAGAGCAAAATTCATAAGGACGTAAGACCCCAGTGCCTTCCAAGCACATATGTGGATATTAGATGATTGCATTAATTAGAGAAATCTGGGTGTACAGGAAAATTTGCTTTAGGACACAAGATTTAAATGAGACTAAATGAAACTGAATATCAGGAAACAAGGGCAAAATTTTACTGTTTTGTCATAGAGGTTGTAAATGTTTGAGGATGAACAGAGAGGCAAATGTAATCTGTTTCCCTAAAATAAAGTGTTCAGAGGAGGAAGGAGTCTGTCAAAGGAGTCTGTGGATTCTTGGGAGTCTCAAAACTTTTCTTTGATGTAGATCAGATTTGATTGCAATAAGAGAAATAAAACAGCCTGTTGGCATAGCCCTTAGAAAGGAAGTAGTGTCTGTAGAGTCCTGGATTCCGTGGGAATGCCTTCTCTTGAACCTAGTGACCTCTGTTTTGTCATGGAAACATTTTTGATGCTGACCATTCTTAAATGTATGTCAACAGTCCTGTGGTAGCCAAGGAAGAAACATACCCTTCTCAAATTGCACAACGTATTTTTGATAATGGATAAAAGAAGTGCATGTGTTATAAATGACACATATAATAAGACAGCCTTTATGATGGTTAATGCTGACATAGACTGTTTATAAATCATTTTCCTCTTACTCAGTTACAAAATAAAATTTATACTTTTTTTTTAAAAAGGAGTCGCACATTCTAAGATGAAATCTGAGTTTGAATTTGCCTTGAGCTTTTCAATGCATGCACTGTAGACACTGCAGTTTTCAGATACGAACAAAAAATAAGACTGGAAGGTGAAAAGAACACTTGGTCACACTCTCAAAATACATTCTTAAGTTTAGTTCTTACACATGCATATATACACACACACAAACACTTTGAGAAGTACTCAAGTGCACATGGTTCATTTGTGGAGTACAGGTACTGCTTTCAGTAGCTGTATAGAGAATGAGCCAAAGCAGATAGTCAGTCAGTGAACAAGAAATGTCAAGCCATGGCCACTGTGATTCCTATTGTCCAATAACAAGAACTTCTACTTGACCCTCTGAATCATAAATTTGAAAATCTCTAAGAATAGCATAATTTATGTAGTATAATTTATGTAGCATAATTTATTCAATACGAGAATTTAGAAATCCTTAAAACTTACATTTTAATGATTCCTGAATACTGAACATATTGCCTGTTCATTATAAGTTCTAATTTCACATTGCCTGTAGATCTACAGGGAATATAGATCATGGGACTGGTGCCACTTTAAGAGAAGTGATACTAATCAATACTTTTTTGGTAGCATCACAAAGTGCATAGAGCACTCTATAAGAAGCTGGTAACTGAACTGCAAAGAGACCAACAAGAAGAAATTGTGAACGCACACAATGCCTTCAGGAGAAAAGTGTCCCCACCAGCCAAGAACATGGTGAAAATGGTAAGTATACAGAATAGCATCAGCAGTGACATTGGGGACACTGGTGGTATTTCCTTCCTTGGAAGTTAGTCCTATGAACTGTGGCTATGCTAATTGTCTGGCCATCACAACAAATCTATGACGTAACAGCAGCAGCAACTGAGTCCAAGAGGATGTAAATAACATTTCTATATATAAGATAGGGCTACAATTCTGACTCAGCTCAAAAATCACCCTTAGGTGCCTTCAAACTTGTGACACGTATTGGGAATCAAGATATCAAAACTAAGCAAATAAGCAAACATTGAAAAATCTAGGGGGGAGTTCAGGGATGGGGCTTCAATCAGAATATATAATGAATCAAATGTGAAGAAAAAATCTTAAAAAATTAAAAAAAGACTTCTCTTTCGTTTTATAGCCAACCATGGTTATATAATCCATCCTATCAAAGAAAGGGATTTTTTAAAAAAAGGATTCTTTAGCTTTACAACCTCCATGGCTGAGAAAGCACAAGATATGGGGCATTACAGAGGCCAAATCTGGACTATTTCTGTTGTAGGAAGATAAACCTTTAGCGCACATGTCTCAGAGTTTTAATGGGAATGCTATTATTTTGTTATTGTTTGACTTAGTGAAAAGATAATCTTATTACTACACAGTGGATGCCAGATAATAGAAATACAAGTTAGAAGTGCAGAAAGTTTAGTGCTTGGAGAGGAAATTGAATTGCTACGTAACTGATCAAAAACTTTCCTTACAAGCGTAATTCCACTTATGACTTGAGATAGTTTTTAATTACAAAAGTTACAAAGAAAGGTCATGGCTATAAAATATGATAGTTCCCCTCAAATGGATCAGGGTCAATAACATTTTCAGCTACTATCCCAGACAGTAAATATAAATTGTTCAGGCCATGTGGCCTCTGAGACAATGCTCATCTGTGTCAGGGCACTATAAACGTAGTCGCAGATGAAGTGTAAATGAATGAACATGCCTGTATCCCAGTAAAACTTTCTGTGTATCAACAAGAAAATTTGAGTTTTATGTAAAAAAAAAAAAATCTAGTAGTGAGTTTCATTGAGGTGAGGTCCAAAAAATTTAGAGATCTGGCCTTGGCAGCACAAGAACTGGCGGTTTTATTATGAGACAAAGACAGGAACCTTAGCCAGCATCCTTGCGAGGGCTCAGGACAGCGAAAGTGATGAAGTTCAGATACAATGCAGGCCATAGAGCGGTAGTTTTCAACCTGTGGATCTTAGCCTTTTGGAGGTCACATATCAGATATCCTCTATTCTAGATATTTACATTATGATTTATGCCAGCAGCATAATTACAGTTATGAAGTAGCAACAGAATAATTTTGTGCTTAGGGGTCACCACAAGGTGAGGAACTGTATTAAAGAGTCATAGCATTCATAAGGTTGAGAAACACTGTCCTAGAGGTTAATCTTAATTGACAGTATCCTCTTGTAATGATGGAGAGGAAGCAACAAGAGAAAAGGAAAAATGTAGTTTTTGAAAATTTGTCTCTGAATCACCTAACAAATTAACAGTATTTATTATTTGATAAACAATTTTTAAAAGTATCACTTGTCATGGGTATTCATGTTTGTATCACTGTTAATAAATGTCTGTCAGCTAATCATAGTGGTTCATAGCTAAATCACAGCATTTACATAGATTTCCAGGCTGAGGCAGGAGGATCATTGTGTGCTCAAATCCAACTTAGGCTACATGGTGAGCTCCAGAAAAATTCTTACAATTTTTAAAATTAATTTAATTCTCCAGTTTAATTTTCTCTACTTTAAAGAGTCTCTAAAATATGATATATTTTATTCAAACTTCTTAACGCAAGAGGAACATACTCAGGAACCCCTATCTTAATTATCTTTAAAATTTATTATTATTATTATTATTATTATTATTATTATTATTATTATTTATTACAGTTTATTCAATTTGTATTCTGGCTGTGTCCGCCTCCTTTGTTATATCACAATCTCACTCTCCCTCCCTCTTCTTCCCCTATGCCCCTCCCTTAATCCACTGATAGGTGAGGTCTTCCCTCCCCCTTCTATTTGACCTTACCCTATCAGGTCTCATCAGGACTGGTTGCATTTTCTTCCTCTGTGACCTGGCAAGGCTGCAACCCAATAATATCCAATCTTCTTCCTGCCAGATGAACAAATAGTTGCAGCTAGGAAAGCCTCTTGATTGAGAAGTCTTATTGCAGACAGAATGTAATTTTTGGTCTTCTCAGTTTCCTCAGATAGACACATGTATGAAAAATTGATCTTTGTTTCTTGAGAAATGTAAAAACAATAACAATGTTTTGAACTCTGTAATTCAACCAGAAGAGTAATTATATAAAAGAACCACGAGATGGCAGCAGATACACACACAACAATTATCTTTTTCACTCCCTTGTCACAATTTGACTTCCATGCTAAAGAGTGATGGCATTAATGCTCATGTTGTTCCCAAAGTTGTTAAGACCAGTAAACTTTGTGTGTTCTAAAAATTTGCTCATAACACCACGCTGAAAACACGAAAGCAGAGGAAACTGAGTTCAAAAAGTTGTAATTGTTCTTAAAACAGGTGAATTCTATTGTAATAGTTGGCAGTGTTTCACATAGGTTGTGGACAGACTCTGAGGCTTCTGGACAGAGGATTGTCAGGATGTCGCAGCTACTCCCATCTAGTTGTGTCTAAGCTGTATATAGTGAAATGCTTCAACTCAGCACATAAACCCTTGTCCCACCCACATGGAGAACTCAGGGCACAGTTCTGAGCGGAAATTCTCATTTGTGTGATCCTTAAAAGCTTTTAAAACTCTTTTTCTCTTCTCTCACACAGTAAAATATACCATTGTCCATTCTTAGTTACTGTATGGAAGAGTAGGAAGAAACACAGTTAGTAACAGATTCTCATGACACTAACTGCTCCCTCCTTTGCTTTGATCAGCATTTCAGGCAGAGATAAGTGACTCTGCTTGAAGTCACAGATGTCATTTATTTGCTGAGTGCATATTGTGAGACTCAGAACATCATGGCTTTACTGTGAGGATCACCACATTGAGTTTGTTGAGCAAAGCTTCTAGAATAACTTAGGTATCATCTTTACAGAAACTGAGACTCAAGGATCTAACACGACATGCCTAGGGATCTTCTCGTTTTGCTTCCCTGTTGGTGTGATACCAGGAACATGTGGAAGAAAGGGTTTAGTTGGACTACAGTTCTAGATAAGAATACATCAATGAGGAGAGGCAAGGCAAGGACTGAAGCAGAGAGCATGGACACACACCTCTTACTGGCTTACTCTTCATGGCTTTCCTCAGACTGCTTTCTTATACCACCCCAAATCGGATCCAATCATTAATCAAGAAAATGCCCCCAAACCCATGCTCCCAGGCCAACATTATGGTTGCAGTTCCTCAGGTGAGGCTCTCTCCTCCCAGGTGACTCTTGCTTGTATCAAGTTGACAGAAAACTGACCAGCACAGAGGTAAACAAACAAACAAACAAACAAACAAAAAACAGCAACAACAACAAAAAAACACAAAACAAAACAAAACAAACAAAAAAAATTGGCAAACTGTTGGGTTAGTTTTCTGACACTAATCTGTCTTCCTGAGAAGTCTTTACTTAAATCCTAAGGAACAAACTCTGCTCTGAATGTTATAACTTGATTTTGAATTTGTTATTTCTTGAGAAACTAAAATGGGTTACACATTTATCTCCTTTTTGTTTGTACTAGAATGCTTAGGGAAAATGTAATTACATAAAAATTCAGCTTCCAAAAAAAAAGATGTTACAAGTCCCATAGGTTTTTTTTTCTTTTTTCTTTTCTTTTCTTTTTTTTTTTTTTTTAACAACATTAAGCAAGTATCTTAGGTTGAGAATGCTAATTTCATGGAGTTTTCTTTCCTTGCCTTGTAGAGTTGGAGTCTAGCTGCTGCAGAAAACGCTAGGATCTTGGCGAGGTATTGTGACAAGGCAGAGAGTGACCCGCTTGAGAGGAGACTTGACAGTATGTGTGTCTTTATTACTCAACTTCTCTGAAGCAGTTTTTCTAACATGAATGAAAGGCCTAAAAAGAAAAATCACTTTAAAGGGAAGTGTATTTTTTTATCTTTTTTAATTTTAATTTTTATGTATTCATTTTACATCCTGGTTATAGTCCCCTCCCTCCTTTCTTCCTGGTCCCAACCTTCATCCCTGCTTCCCCTATCCCCCATCCCCTACTGCTCAGAGAAGGAAAGTCCCCTCTACCCACCCATCCCAGCATATCAAGTAGCATCAGGACTGAGTGCATCCTCTTCCACTGTGGTGTGGTGAGGTAGCCTCACTAAGGGAAAGGGATTGAAAAGCAGGCAACAGAGTACTTGTCAGGGTCAGCCCCCATTCCCCTTTCTAGGGTACCAATATGAAGATGGAGCTGTTCATTGGCTACATCTGTGTAGGGAGCCTAGGTCCGGTCCATGTATGGTCCTTGGCCTCCAAAGGCTTTCCTAGGCCCTGGTTAGTTGGCTCTGTTGGTCTCTATGGAGATCCTGTCTCTTCTGGGTCCTTCTATCCTTCCTCCCATTCATCAACCATGCTCTACCCAATGGTTGTGGTTCTCTGCATCTGTTTCCATCAGTTCTGGTTGGAGCCACTCAGAGGACAGCTATGCTAGGTTCTTGTCTGAAAGCATAACAGAGTATCATTAATCATGTCAGGGGTTGGCTGTGTCCCATGGGGTGAGACTCAGGTTGGACCAGGCATTGTTTGGACCTTCACTCAGTCTCTGCTCTATTTTCTCTATCATTATCCCTGCATATTTTGTAGGCAGGGTATATTTTGTGTTGAAGCTTTTGTGAGTGGGTTGGTGTTACCCTTCCTCCACTAGGAGTTGTGTCTAATTTGAGGGTTGCCTCTTCAGTCTCCAGGACCACTGTTATTGGGAGGGAGCCTTTGCTGCAGTCACCCTCACATCTTCCTAGGAGCCTACCCTGTTGTATGCCAGAGGAGGTTCATTTTTATTTAATGGCTTCAGAAAGCACAGTGCATGGCTTTTAGCTTGAGTGATTCAGGACTGAACTGAGGCCAAATAATATGATGGAGGTTAAAATGGAGGAGGCTGCTGACCCCAATTAGAAACAAACAAACAAACAAGCAAACAAACAAGCATAGGATACAGAGCTGTAGAAAGTAAGTGAAAGCAGGTGTGCAAAGAGCTACTCTTGACATGAGTACCTTTAAAGACCCAACTCTGTCAGGGTGGCCATATTTCTCAAAGCTTCTACAACTCTACTCAACCTTTGGCATCCAGAGAATAAGCCTTCAAGAAATGAGTGTAGTGTATTTTAGATACAAACTACCATTAAACAAAATTTAAATGAATCAATTACATCTCAAAAAATCATGGATACAAACAACTTGACAATAGTAAGTTAAAAGGTTCGATCTACATTGACCCTTACCTACGCTTGATGGTAGACTGTAGCCTGATATTGTTTTTAATTTTTGTAATCTGGGTTTTCTTTGTTTGGGGGTCTAAGTTGTGATCAACAGGAGAGAAGAACCACAAATAGCATTATTAAAGGACTGAGTGTGTCTAGTTACCTAGGAGGCTTCCAATCAAAGTTATCTCAGGTCTCCACAACATCAGAATTGGAATTTCCTCGGCTTTGGGGCACTAAGGACTAAATTATATGTAACTGTAGGACTATCCTGATAATCAATTTTGAATGCTCAAAGGTGGGCTTGGTTTTGCCATATGACCTAAATAATTACTACCCAATTTTTAGTGCATCCTACAAAATTAGGTAACAGTTTATAAAGGCCTTCTTCCAAACTAATTTTTAAAAATAAAAATGCAACTTTATGTCGACAGATTATCGGAACTCTTATGCCAAGGTATTAATTAGTGCATTAGCAATGGGGGATCTTTGTATTATAGAGAAATACAGATTATTCCTCAGTACCATAACCTACCTGAAGCATGTATGAAGAATGGACCCAACATCTTTTCAGAATGTGTACACTCTTTACAACTGCTTTCAATTCCAGAGTTCAGTTATAGCTCCCAAGTGCTCATAGAGTCTTTCACCATCATTCTTTAATTGACAGAGATTAAAATATCTGTAGTCATCATTTCAAAGCCTTTTCATAATCTGCCAATGTCAATTTCTCATCAGACTTGAGCAGCACATGCTTGTCCAACAAAAAGGAAGATTTTCAACAGATAATCAAACGAGTTTATTTCCTGTTATAAAATTATGCCTAGGTGATCATTAAAACATTTATGAGACAAAATGAGGAAAACCTTTGTATTTTATTTTTTAAAGAAATTTTATACAGTCACTTTGCTTCATTTCAGATACATTTTGTGGAGAAAATATGCATTTGGAATATTACCCCTTCTCCTGGTCAAAGGTAATTGAAAGCTGGTACAATGAGTCCAAACATTTCAAATATGGAGAATGGCCTTCAACAGATGATGACTTTGAGACTGAACACTATACTCAGGTAATCTGTATCCTTCTAGATATAAACAAGGCTGGGTACATATGTGTGTAAAATATAAGTACTAGTTCTCCCCTCAGGCCTAAGGAAAATGACCCATGAAATTCCAACAACCCCAGTCCTGGAATGGGACCAGTACAATGACAACACTTGATCTGCAAGGGCCAACAGGGGAAATTTCATGTGGTCCCACCTCTTAGCTTGTCCTTTTAATTTTTTTGAAGCTGTGATATGGAATCTTACTAAAATATTGGGTAAATTTATCTAACAGCTAACTATGTTGAATGTTTTTCTTGTATCTACTGGAGAGTCAAACTTCTTGCAAAGTACAACTATCCTATGGTTAAAAAGTTCAGCACCTGATACTGTGGGGAAACAATATCAATTTTCAAACCACACCAGATCTTCTTTAATTTCTTTCAGTTAATGTGCTGATAATCTCACCTTAAACTATTTAAGGCTCCTTGCTAAACATTCTAAGTAGTTCAGTATTACTATACCTTTTAAACAGAACAATCTTCTTAATTAATTTTAGTATTCATTCCTTATTAGTGCTAGAGAAAGCTAAAGAGTGATTAATAGGAATATAAAAAGTGTTCACGGCAGAACCGAAGTGATGAGGTATGAGTAAAACCAGTTAGCCATTATAAAATTTACATTCATTTTAAATCAGGAAGCAATCAGTGGAGAACAGTAGACAAGAGATTGACTTGATGTGATTAAGTATAATGACATGAACTCAATGGCCTGCTCTTTGACCTCCCCCCCAACACCCGAGGGAGGAACAGCTCTGCCAGGCCACAAAGGAGGACTTTGCAGGAAGATACCAAATAAGCTATGGTCAGATGAAAGGAGAAGAGGTCCTCCCTTACTAATGGACTTGGAAAGGGGTAGGGAGAAGATGAGGGAGGGAGGGTGGGATTGGGAAGGAATGAGGGAGCAGGATACTGCTGGAATACAAAGTTTATAAATTGTACCTAATATTAAAACAATAAAACTTTAATCAAAAAAGAATTTAAATGTTTGTGAAACCGGGAACATTAAAACATACTAAAACGAAATACAAAATATCATGAGCACATATCATAAGAACTGATTTTCCACTGAATTGGACAACTGTCAAAGAAATAAGTGAAACAATTCAATTCTCATTATCCACAAAAATAAATATGTACTGTGGTGGATTGAATGAGCTGTCTCCATATTCTTGCCCACATGAGTACGTTGTCCCCTGTTTTGGTATCTTTTGCAGAGGTTTAGGAGGTATAGCCTTGCTGGAGGAAGTATGTCACTGCACACAGGCTTTGATAGTTTAAAGACCTCTGCCTTTCCCAGTCAGCTCTTTCTGCTTTCTGCATGAGACTAGAGATGTGTGCCCTCAGCCTCTGCTCCAATCGTCATGTCTGCTGTTGGATGTCTTGTTTCCCCACTCTGATGGACTCTTATCATTCTGGAACCATAAGTTTCCTTGATCCTAGGCAGGATCCTACAGAGGTCACAGGGGATAATGAGCCCTACTGAATTTACCCCCACCTCCTCTTCCAATTTCTTATATTTTTAATAATTTTAATGTTTAACCCTCACTATACATGTGCATGTACAGAGCAGTGTTATTATACCCATCTTACAGATGAGAAGCTGAAGCTCTAACCAAGAAATTGCTAAACAACAACAACAACAACACACACACACACACACACACACACACACACAAAACAAACAAAAACATCACCCATCTTAGAAGTTCAGAGATGGAATTTAAACTTGACTCACTTGCATTGAAAGCCATTTGAATGCTTGACCAGTAAGAAAGCATCTTTCAGCCAGGCATGGTGATGCATACCTGTAATCCTAGCACTCAGGGAGGCAGAGGCAAGAGTATCTCGGTGAATTTGAAGCTAGCCTGTTCTACAGAGCGAGTCCAGGACAGCCAAGGCTGTTAGTATATGGCAGCCTGCTTCTGAGTTGCCTAGCAACCGATGATGCCATCATTTGTAACCCTCCAGGTAGCCACACCTGCAGTCTTCTTTATGTTTCTCCTTAAAAAGGTTTCGTTATGAGTTTTAGTATCTGCTTTGAAACACTGCTAGGTAGAGTCTTTCAGATGCCTTCTGTGGTAGACTCCTGTCATACATCCAATGCACATCCCATTTGTCTTTCTAACTTCGGCAGAGTGCAGGGAATCATATGAAAGAAGGGGAGGTAGTATGATGTGGAAAGGATAGGAGCTCCACAACGACCAAATATATATGGGCACAGGGGTCTTTTTTGAGACTGACACTCCACCAAGGACCATGTATGGATATAACCTAGAACCTCTGCTCGGATGTGGCCCGTGGTAGCTCAGTAACCAAGTAGTTTTCCATAGTAAGGGAAACAGGGACTATTTCTGATAGGAAATCAATGGCAGGCTCTTTGACCTTCCTATCCCCCAAGGGAGAAGCAGTCCTGCTAGGCCACAGAGGAGGACTTTGCAGCCAGTCCTGAAGATACCTGATAAAACAGGGTCAGATGAAAGGGGAGGAGGTCCTCCCCTATCAGTGGACTTGTAAAGGGACAGGGAGGAGATGAGGGAGGGAGGGTGTGATTGGGAGGGAATAAGGGAGCGGGATACAGCTAGGATACAGAGTTAATAAAATGTAACTAATAATAAAAAAAATTAAATTAAAAAAGTTTCAACCCTCCAGTTTGTTTCTCTCTTGCTGTCTTGCCCTCTCCCCTTTCTCTCAGGGCATCCCTTGTTTTCCCCCATCATGTCTCATTCTCTCCTTCTCTTTCTCTTCATCTCCATCTAATAAACCTCTTTCATATAAAATCTGCTATGGGCGTCATCAATTTCATTGGTCCTAACAAGGATACCCAGAGAAACACTGTCTCAAAAAATAAACAATTAAAAAATCCAACACTTTTTGCTTTTTGTTTTGAGTCTTAAACAATCTTTATCATATTAGCTTAGATTCTTCACCATATAGGTTTGATGTGGAGAGAATGAGCAGAGTGGATGGCACTACTTCTGGTTTTTGGTGGGAATGAATATAACAGGTTCCAGTATGATGACCTAAACACCCGAGTTTTTCATATGTCTGCTTTCTGAGAAAGCCATGCTGAATGCAAACTAAAGACTTTTTTAAGATTAATTTTTATGTGTGTGTGTTTCTGTGTCTGTGTGTATGTGCTCAAGTGTGCCCACAAAAGTAATAAAGAAGGCCTTGGATATCCTGGGTCTGGATTTACAGATGGTTGTGGGCAGTCCAGGTAGATGCTGGAATCAAAATCATATCCTCTAAAAAAGCAGCAATTTCTTGTAACTGCTGATACATTGCTCAACCCCCTGCAAGCTTACATTGAATCAAAATAATGCGGATGATCTTGTAGTCATTTAGGGAGCATGCAAATCTGTAATAATGCCATTTCTTATCCTTACAGATGGTCTGGGCCTCTTCCTACCTAATTGGTTGTGAAGTTGCATCATGTCGCAGACAAAACACAGCTACATATCTCTATGTGTGTCACTATTGTCATGAGTATGTAATGTCAATTTATTATTCCTTCTAAATACATTATCCTCCTAAAAATTGTCTAATGTTTCAAGTATTATAAGTGAATGTTGTTTTTCTCCAGTAAAGTCATTAGTAAAATGTCAATATGTACCGTGAACCCTTCATTTTTTATCTTGTTTTTACTAAATAAGTCAATAAGAGATATAAGCATTCAGAAAATTTATTGGTGATCTTACAATGTGTCATTCAGTGGAAAGTATTATCACACAGGGAAGTGAACTTGAACTGAATTTGATTGCAGCATCGATTAAAAACTGTTCAGACAAGTGTTGTTTTTGTGCTCAGCTTTCTAGCTCCAATGTTGACTTATGCATTTCTTTTAGAAATGAAATTCATGTGCCACTGGAGAGATGGCTTAGCGATTAAGAGAACTTGTTGCTCTTGCAAAGGACAAAAATTATTCCCAGGACCCAAAAACAATAGTCTCAGGATTGCCCATAACTCTAGGTTCAGGAGATTCTATGACACCCCCCAGCCTCCACTGACACCTACAGACATGTGTACATACATACATATATACATACATACACACATATACATACATACATAACTTACATATATACATTACATACATACAAACATTATATATACACACACACACAGTACAAACACAAAAATAAAATGACTAATTTTTTAGAATAAATAACATTTTATGTATTCTAAATACTGTCATCCCAGGTACTAGTAACAAATTCTAGGCAGAGAATGGCAGAGAAGCTCTTAAAGAAATGTTCAACGTCCTTAGTCATCAGGGAAATGCAAATTAAAACAATCCTGAGATTTCAATTTGCACCTATCAGAATGGCTAAGATGAATAACTCAAGTGACAACACATGCTGGAGAGGATGTCGAGAAAGGGGAACCCTCCTCCACTGCGGGTGGGAATGTAAACTTATACAACCACTTTGGAAATCCATCTGGTGCTTTCTCAGACAATTGAGAATAGTGCTTCCTCAAGATCCAGCTATACCACTGCTAGGCATATATCCAAAAGACTCGCAAGTATACAACAAAGACATTTGCACAACCATGTTTGTAGCAGCTTTGTTTTAATAGCCAGAAGCTGGAAATAGCCCACATGCACCTCAGTTGAGGAATGGATACAGAAATTGTGGTACATCTACCCAATGGAATATTACTCAATGATGAAATTTGCGGTAAATGTCGGGAACTGGAAAAGATCATCCTGAGTGAGGGATCCCAGAAGCAGAAAGACACACATGATATATATGCACTCATAAGTGGATTCTAGACATATAACATAGGATAAACCTACTAAAATATGTACACCTAAGGAAGCGAATCAGGAAGGAGGACTTTGGCTAAGATGCTCAATCCCCATTCAGAAAGGCAAAGAGGATGGACAGTGGAGGAGGGAGAAAACAGGGAACAGGACAGGAGCCTACCACAGAGGGCCTCTAAAAGGCTTTATGCCGCAGGGTATCGAGGCAGATGTTGAGACTCAGCCAAACTTTGGGCAGAGTGCTGGGAATTTTATGAAAGTAGGAGATAGTAAGACCTGGAGAGGACAGGAGCTCCACAAGGACAGCGACAGACCCTAAAAGTCTGGGCACAGGGGTCTTTTCTGAAACTGATACTTCAGCCAAGGACCACTCATGGAGTTCGCCTGGAACCCCTGCACAGAGGTAGCCTACGACAATTCAGTATCCAAGTGGCCTCCATAGTAATGGGGACAGGGACTGCCTCTGACATGAACTGATTGACCTGCTCTTTGATCACCTTCCCCTGAAGTGGGGGAGGGAACAGCCTTACCAGGCCACAGAGGAAGACAATGCAGCTACTCCTGATGAGACCTGATAGACTAGGGTCAGAGGGAAGAGAAGGAGGACCTCCCTTTTCAGTGGACTTGGAGAGGGACATGGGTGGTGAAGAGGAAAGGTGGGATTGGGAGGGGAAGAGGGATCGAGGTTCAGGGGGGAAACAAAGTGAATAAACTATAATTAATAAAAATAAAAATAATTTAAAAAATTTTGAAAAAAGTGGACCATATATAGATTTTAAATAGGGCTTACTGAACTGTGGCATATTCATAGATTATAAAGTATTTCTAGAACATGTTTAAGTGAACACCTGTATTCACTGTGCCTTCATGTAACTTTAAATGTGGTAATACTTAAGAAGTGCATATTATCTAAATAACTTTTAGATGTTGACAGGCAAGTATTCTTTGCACTTTCTGAAATTTCAAATATTTTACATTGATGTTTTTTCTTCTGTGCTCTTCCCTACACCTAGTACTTTATTTAGTTTTATCCCTGCTTATGTGCTTTTGTGTTTTATATAGTGTATGTTCGTCATTGCTGTAAAAGGAGATTAAAATGACCCAATGCAAATGAATTTTGGCCAACACTTTCTTAAGATCTATGAAGATTAAATACATAAACAAATAAATATTATACTAAAGCCCCATGCTCTGGACTTAACAGCACAAATGTTCTGAGTCCTGTTAGTACAGGAATGTTAAGAGATAGGGCACAATGACTACAAGCCCTTCAACAGAATTGTTAGTGGTTGAATGCAAAAACAATATTTATATCAATAAATCTGGGTCATATATTCAATACAAATATTAGCTCTGTTTGTTCACAAATCTGCCTAAACAATATACCTTTTGAATTGGCTGTTGACAGTGAACATAAGTGAATAAATATTTTCCAGTGGTAGTTTTTTATTATACCTTTACTTCTTTTCTTTCTAAAGGGGAAATTATCCTGACATGCTAAATAAGCCTTATAAGGAAGGCTCACCATGTGGAGATTGTCCAGATCACTGTGAAGATGGACTGTGCAGTGAGTGGCTTTTGTTGTTTAATTTGGGTTGCTTGAAGTTAGCATATTGATATGAGGACCACATATCATTTACTCTTAGCATTAATCTACATTCTATATTTCTACAATTTTCATCTCAATATTACTTTAAGATATATCTAAATTATTTCTCCTTCCCTCTCCGTCATTCCCAGGGTAAGCAATTTCTTTGACTTTACTATTAGAAGGGGGATTAGAATATCTAGGTATGAAAACTCAAGTTTCCATCCAAAGTTTAAAAGTATGAATTAAAGCCAACCTAGGTAAAAATCTTAACCTAAGTGTGTTGTGGTTAAACTAAAGGTATGGCTAATAGTGTTTATTATTAGCACTATAATTATTATGGCAGATTACCTAACCTGCTATTACATTCAATAAAAGACACAGACACATGATAGATTTTAGAATAGCCTTATTTTACCTGAGGCATGACAGATAGTACCTCCTAAGCTATCTTTATCTTTCAAGCTCCCATCCCATGCCATCTGCTTTAATAATTTTCACCTGGGCTACTTCCCATCCATAATTCCATATATTTTTATTTGTTTGTCTTGGGTACTTTCCTCCATCTATTAGCTCCTTTCCACTCTAATTCATTATGGTCCCCTGCATCTTTTCTCTTCCTATACCTCTCTCTTTCTCTCAAGTTCCTCCTCTCTTCTAAGCCTTCAAACTCTGGCCACACCTACCCCATTCAGTCCTGCCCAGGTTTAGGCCTTTTAATCATCAAATCAGGAATAACTGAGGAACATTCCTTTCATCACATGGTCACAGGAGCTAGTTCAACATTATAATAGTATGCATGCCAGAGCAGTAACCAGATCTCAAGGAAATGAAATCAGTATTTGAAAACATATTTGTACCCTCCTCCAACGTATGTGTGATTGCTGTTCCTAGACAGTTCCTGGGATACCTTATTGCTGACCACAAGTTATGCAGACTCCTTCCAGATTGCCAGTCTCTCCAAAATGCTTGCTGCCCTACAACCCTCAATTTGCCTGAATACATATTAGTGTGGAATTTTTGTAAACTGAACATCATTTCTTCTATATAAGATCAAGAACTCTCTGATAGAGGGTTCCATAAAAATTTACCCTTCAATGCTTAAGTAATTTCTGACTTTTGCCCAATAACACATAAAGGTTGCATCTGTGGGAGTTAAGGTCATATTCTGACGGGTGAATATGTGTTTTTGTGATCAGGGTGATCATATCTGCTTCTTTTTTTCAAACATTTGTCATTTTGGAGCACTGTTCAAAATCTCATCTTTTAAAAGTAGCAGTATGTTATCATTATATATTAACACCAATTACATAATTGCCACCCTCGCTTCTAACTGCTTCTTAGAACACACTGATCAATGTGTCCCTCTACTCTAAAGGTGATAGCCTCTTTTGAGGGATATTAGTGTTGAATTATGTGTGAATACAAATATGTAATTATAACATGCTGACACCCTTTTTTTTTTTTTTTTTTTTTGGTGTGCTTGTTTTCAAGGTTGATCACTCTGAATTGGACAATCAGTAATGGTTTTCATCTCTGGGAGGGAGAGGCTAATTTTCTTTCTCAGAGTAGTCATTAGTTCTTTGTCTCGGGGTGGACCCCTGAAATGACATTTTAAAAATGGTAATTCAATAGCACAGATTTATTCTTGTATTTGTGTTTCACCTACAATAGTTTATCATTTTCACGATAAAGATATGACTACCTTGAGTGAATTCACTCCAGTGTGATTTTTGAGTGTATTATTAGTATTAATTTCTGTTTCAGATTTTTGCTAGTGCATACACCAGTGTTCCAGATTGTAAATGCTGCTTTGATGTACTGTAACCATTCTGAACTAAATTATGTTTTCTTAATTTTGGCAGAATATCTGTCCTTTTCTATGTATGTAACCATGTCATTTGCAGACAATGACAATTCAGCTACCCATTTTCCAATTAAAAAAAGCCATTCATTTAATTATATTTTCTGACTACTCCAGCTAGGATTTCTGCACTGTGTTGAATAAAAGTCATGACAGTGAGAATACTTCTGTAGCTTCAAATCTTAGATCAAAATTATAATATTCAGCATGATGTCAACTACTGGCTCATTAGAAGTGGCTTTCTTATAAGAAAGGGTTACTTCTTTCTATCTATGATTCACACAGTGTTTCCATCATGAGAGAAAACTGGACAAAGATGCCAAAAACACAAGATAGAGAGAAGGCAGCCATTCTTACAATCAGTGCTGGGAAAGTTGAATGCTCACATGTAAAATAATGAAGTTATGTTCACATCTAACATCCTGCACAAAACAACCCCAAATAGGTCAAATACACTGATGCGAACCTTGAAACACTGAAATTGCTAAGAGAAAGCATACATAGTACATACACTCCAAGAGATAGCTGTGGGGAAGGACTTTGAGCCTTGGTTTTCATTCACAAATTAAGATCAACAGTTGACAAATGAAACCTCATAGAACTGACTAATTTCTATGCAGCAAATGATACAATAGAATTATTTCAATCATTATGGGTTCATCAGAGCTACCTCACAAAATCAATCCAATAAAAAGGAAGCTAAGAAACTGAGAGAGAATTTGTTTGTTATTTGTACATCTGATAGAGAATAAATACCCAAAATAAACAAAGAACACAAGAAACAAGAGCATAGAAAACAAATGACTCAATTAAAAATAGACTATAGAGCTCAACAGAGAATTCTCAAAATAAGAAAAAAAGTGGGCAAGAAATATCTTTTGAATAGTTAAACATCCTTAGAAATTAAGAAGATCCTAAATAAGAAGTACACTGTGATTTTATCTGACCACATTTGGAACTTTTAAGATGAAGAATATAAGTAGTAACACTTAATGGAGGAGGGGGCAATGGGAAATCTCATTGTTAGTAGAAATGGAAATTAATGTAGTCAATGTGGAAATCAATGTGGAGAAGTCTCAAAAACTTAAAGTAGATTTACCTTGACATCCAGTTATACCACTAAGCATATGCTTTAAGGAGTTGATATTCTTCTCCACATATACTTACTCAGCAGTGGTCATTGCGACGGTGTTCACAGTAATGAGGAAATGAGCACAGCATGAATGCAATTCGACAGATGAATGGGTAATGAAACTATGACACCTATACACAGAGTGGAACTGTGTTCTTCTGGAAAAACATGAAATAAATAAACTCTTCAGGGAAATAGATGAAACTGGAAAATAATGTATTGAGTGATATAACCCAGGCATAGAAAACAAATGCCACATGTTCTCTCCTAGGGTCTTGGCTCCAAATTTTTGTATGTTAGTATATAACTTGGAGTAACTTTCAGCAACTAGGAAAGTAATATTGAACACTGGTGTGGATCTGGGAGTTCTAGAAGAGGGAATAATAGTACACAGGTACTCTAAAATGCAACATGGGAAAAAATAGGAAGGAGACTATTACTGGGGATAAAAGCAGAAGGGAAGGGAGAAGGAGGAATGAGGGATATGCAACGCTAAGCATATTCAGAAAAACCATTAGGAACTTATATATCATTTAAAAATATATATGTAGTTTTAAAAAGTTATTCAACATGAGATTATAATGTTTTCCCCAAAGTTCCTCTCCAAATCATAGACCATCTAACAAAACCCGAGTTCCAGGCAGGAGAACCCTCCCTTCCAATTGCTGGTCAGGTGAACATAAGAGAATATGAGACTCCTTCAACAATAAAGGCCGTCGCCATTGCCCTTGGTTGCCAGCCAGAACTTGCAGGTAAGATCCTATCTCTGAAGACAGTACAGAGGTGAGATACAGGACTCAGAGGACTCAAGTTTGAACTGACCTGGAAGCCTCCTTCCTGTGGACCACCTCTCATACCTTGTGAAAGTGTTATGCAAGCTGCCAAGAGCCAAAGGAAATCAATAGTTCCCCTGTGGTGCTGTAAATTCTGCAAACTACAACAAAGACCACTGTGACAAGATATCCCCAAGTGTTGATGTAGACAACAGCTATCTGGTGGGACTAAGGATCTTCTAAGTAGGAATAAATTCGTGCATAATATTGTAAAACTGCCAACTCCCATAGATTTTGAAGCCACAGGCCCTAGAAGAGAACCTATTACTGTTACTTTCCTAACCCAGGATAATTTCTAACTGGATTTTAAACACTAATCTTCATTTTGACATATAAGTTTAGCTCTCCCTTCCCATGTAAGAAGTCTCTTTTTGCAAGAAATGAAGATTATTACAGAAACTCATAACTGATCAAAATACAGAGACTAACATTGGGTGTGCAACTCCATTTGATACAACTACAGCACACCCCTTACAACCGGAACTAAGAAAACATTCCAGAGGAGGAGGCCATGAAACTGTAAGATCCATGGAGCAGGACATGTGCTCTGAGATCTTCAAGGGAAGTTACATACCCATGGGATAGCAACAATAAGGTCACCTAAACAAGGCATGCACATTGTCAACACCAGCTGACATTCATGTCAATAAGGATGTCAAAATCTGACATCCTAGATGAAGAGCAACAGGCAATTAATGATTGCCTAAAAATGAAGAATCAGATTTATTCATGGAATGAGCTCCTTGACAGGTCATCCAAGCATTGACACAGATATAATATTTAAATAAGAGATAATCAGGGGTCTTTTCTGAGACTGATATTCCAACCAAGGACCATTCATGGATATAACCTAGAACCCCTTCTCAGATGTAACCCATGGCAGATCAGTATCCAAGTGTGTATCATAGTAAGGGTAACAGGGACTGTCTCTGACATGAACTCAGTGGCTGGCTCTTTGACTGCCACTCCAGAAAGTAGGAGCAGCCTTGCCAGGACACAGAGGAGGACAATGCAGCCAGTTCGGATGGGATCTGGTAAGCTAGGGTCAGATGAAAGGAGAGGAGGACCTCCCCTATCCATAGACTTGGAGAGGGGGATAGGAGGAGTTGAGGGAGGAAGGGTAGAATAGGAAGGGGAGGAGGGAGGGGGCTACAGGTGGGATACAAAGTGAATAAACTGTAATTAATATAAGAGATAAAAATTTAAAAAAGAGATCATCAGTTAAAGGAACAAACTTTGGGATTAGATGAGGAAGAGTGAAAATGATGTAAATACAGTACTCATGTATGAAATTCTAAATAGTTTAAAGTTTTAACTTAAACTATTATAAAATGTAATTCATACCAAATTATAAAACTAATATTAGTAAAGCGATTTTTCGATTACTTTATCATCCATTGGTTATTCATAACTAAGTTGTATAATTTCCATGATTTCCAAAGCATTTTTTGGTTTCTTATTTCTAGTTTTATTGAATAGTTCCAATATTTTAAAATTGTTATGACATGAATGGTAGCTTATCATATGATTTATGCTTGAGGGTGTTCCATATGCTGATAAAAAGATTGTATGCTCTGTACTTGTTGCTTGAAATATTCTGTAGATTCTGCTAAGTTTGTTTAGTCTACTTCATAAATTGACTCTTCTGTTTCTTGATTTACTTTATGGACAAAAATGTCTTTTGATGAATGTAGGCTGCTAAAGTCCTCTAATATTACTTCCTGGAAACTTACTAACATTTGGTTTATATACTTAGAAGCTTTTATGCATATGTACTTAAATTTTCAATTATTTCACTCTCTTAATGTTTATCATTATGTACTGACCTTTTTTATTTTATTAGATTTAACATTACTCTCGATTTTTTCTGATTATTGATATGCCATATCTTAATCCATCTTCATACTTTCTATGTATCCTCAAAGATTTTTTGCAAGCAACATATATTTGTCTAATTTTGTCTATTCATTTACTACATCTTTTAAATGGAAAATGAAATCAATTCTTACATTCAAAGTCATAAATGATAGATATAGCATTTCTTTCTCATTCCATTGGTTTTTCACAAATAATTTGTATAATTTCTATTCTTCCATGATTTCTACATATTTCCATAATTCCATAATCTTATAGCATTTGAAATATTTTTGTTATTAAGCAAAAAGGGGAGGGAGGGTGGGATCGGGAGGGGAGGAGGGAGGGGCTTATGGGGGATACAAAATGAATAAAGTGTAATTAATAAAAAATTTAAAAAAAAGAAGCTCATTTTCTCAACCATGTTCATAGCAGCTTTATTCATAATAGCCAGAATCTGGAAACAACCCAGATGTCTATCAACTTAGGAATAATGGATACAGACATTGTAGCACATTTACACAACGGAATACTACTCAGCAATTAAAAACAAGGAAACCTTGAAATTTGCAGGCAAATGGTGGGAACTAGAAAAGATCATCCTGAGTGAGGTATCCCAGAAGCAGAAAGACACACATGCTTTATGCTCACTTATAAGTGGATATTAGACATATAACATAGGATAAATATATTAAAATATGTATACGTAAAGAAACTAAGGAAGAAGGAGGATTCTGGGTAAGATGATCAGTCCTTATTCAGAAAGGCAAATGGGATGGACATTGGAAGAGGAAGAAAACAGGGAACAGGACAGGAACCTACCACAGAGGGCCTCTGAAAGACTCTACCCAGCAGGGTATCAAAGCAGATGCTGAGACTCATAGCCAAACTTTAGGCAGAGTGCAGGAAATGTTCTGAAAGAAAGGAAAGATGAAAGACCTGGAGGGGACAGGAGCTCCACAAGAAGAGCCACAGAGCCAAAAAATCTAGGCACAGGGTCTTTTCTGAAACTGATGTCATTTTGTACATCAGAGGGCTGGTGGAGGAAGATTATGACAATTCGGCTAACACAGGATTGAAGGCTCAATTCATGAGCAGTGATACAAAGGTTGGCTGGGCTTTTTCTGATTCTGAATTTCTCTGTTTTGAGTTCCATAAAGGGTTTCAAGTCTACAACCTGGACTTAATTCTCTTTCTTTCTCACAAGCAGAAAGATTTCTCTTTAGGCTGTATTTCTTTATGTTGAGGAAGTAGTTATGATGCCAGTTCTTTCACTAATTTGAAATTATTTTCCTATTATACAAGAAAAAAAATTACTGAGAACTCTCAGCTGATTAATGTATTGTGAGGATGGTTTCATTCTTCAATGGATGTGACATGTCCTTGGAGAGACTTGGTTGGATAGCTTCTTTTGCTTCCTCTTAAGATTACCTCTGTCCTTCAATGATAAATTTAATATAAATTTTTAAAAATGGCTGAAACTTTAATGCATTAAAGTATGCTTTATTGTTATGACATTATCATTCTCAAAATAACAGAGGAATTGAAAAGATTATTCATCTCCAGTCTGTTGAGGTATAGTGTCAACAATTAAAAAACTGAGATTGAATAAATCTTTATATCATGAAAAGAATTTTGTCTTTTACCTCAGAAGGATCTGATTCAGTGCATACCTATCAGCTCACATTAATCAAATTAATCCTGTATCGTATAGAATGTTTATCCTTTTCTCTTAGGAAGATAATGTCTTTTTCAATGGTTGTGTCTGTTTTAAGCACAATGTTATGTACTGTTATATTTTTTTTTCAGCTAACCCTTGCCTTTATTACGATGAATACAACAACTGTGACAAACAAATGAGACTTATTGGATGCTCACATCCATCAGTTCTGCAATTCTGCAAGGCTTCTTGTCTGTGTAAAACTGAAATAAAATAACTGGCTATTGTCGACTACTGTGCTGTGAAGGTAAAGGATTACTTCCGGATCCCTTATTTCACCTTAATGTAGTGTAAGGTCGCCTGCTGATTTTATTTGTTATTTTATATATAGTGTGCTCAAGAACCTAAGTTTTAATCACTATTTATAGATATCAATATAGTTTCATCAAGATGATGTTCTCCATTTCCTGATCTATCCTGTAATAAGACAGTTTTAAGCTTCCTTGTTTTAATGAGAAGACAAATAAAATGCTTGCCTCAAATTTGATACATGTGGTTTGTGGTGTGAAGGTCAATATAACCCAAATAATGACTGAGTCCTTCATCTGTGTCTTTCTGAGTAAGGATTGATCATCTTACCCCAGGACCTCCTTGTTTAGCTTCATTTAGGTGTACAGACTTTCGGACGTTTAACCTATCTTACATTTTTTTTCTTGTTCCCACCATGTTTCTTGAAATTTCATGATTTCCTTGTTTTTAATTGCTGAGTAGTATTCCATTGTGTAAATGTACCACAGTTTCCTCCATTGAGGGAATGTTGTTTCCAGGTTCTGACTATTACGAATAAAGCTGCGATGAACATGGTTGAAAAAAATGTCTTTGTTGTATACTTGAGCATCATTTGGGTATATGCCTAGGAGTGGAAGAGCTGAATCTTGAGGAAGCACTATTCCTACTTGTCTGAGAAAGCGCCAGATTGATTTCCAAAGTGGTTGTACAAGTTTACATTTCCACCAGCAGTGGAGGAGGGTTCCCCTTTCTCCACAGCCTCTCCAGCATGTGCTGTCACTTGATCTTCAGAGATAGGATCTTACCTGCAAGTTCTGGCTGGCAACCAAGGGCAATGGCGACGGCCTTTATTGTTGAAGGAGTCTCATATTCTCTTATGTTCACCTGACCAGCAATTGGAAGGGAGGGTTCTCCTGCCTGGAACTCGGGTTTTGTTAGATGGTCTATGATTTGGAGAGGAACTTTGGGGAAAACATTATAATCTTAGCCATTCTGATGGGTGATCTTAGCCATTCCTCTATTGAGAATTCTCTGTTTAGCTCTGTACCCCATTTTTTTTTACTGGATTACTTGATTTGTTGCTGTTTAACATCTTTAGTTCTTTATATATTCTGGATATTAGCCCTCTGTAAAATATAGGGTTGGTGAAGATACTTTCTCAGGCTTTTTCTTTCAAAAGTTTACCTTTTCTTCCTGAAAAATTTCTAAACTGAAGTTCCTCAAATTCCTGCTGTTTTTCATATGCTTTATGATTGGGGGTGGAAAACATGTTTAGCTTCAAAGATGAAAATTTGTTTTAATTCTTTATTAATTACACTTTATTGACTTAGTATCCCCCTTATAGCTCCTTCCTTCCTCCCTTCCTTAACCCTCCTTTCTTCCTCATTCTCTGTGCATGCCCCTCCCCAAGTCCACTGATAGGGGAGGTCTTCTTTTCCTTCCTTCTGATCCTAGTCTATTAGGTCTCATCAGGAGTACTGCATTATCTCCCTCTGTGGCTTGGTAAGGCTGCTCCCCCATCAGGGGGAGGTGATCAAAGAGCAGGCCAATCAGTTCATGCCAGAGGAGACCCTCTTCCCATTACTATGGAACCCACTGGACACTGAACTGCCATGGGCTACCTCTGCGCAGGGGTTCTAGGTTATCTCCATGCATGGTACTTGGTTGGAGTATCAGTCTCAGGAAAGAACCCTTCAGATTTTTTGGTTCTATTGCTCTCCTTGTAGAACAATGGAGGGGGATGGGGATTCAGCATTTTAGCCAGAGTCCTCCCTCTTGATTAGTTTCTTATGGTGTACAGATTTTAGTAGGTTTAGTAGGTTTAGTCTATATTTTATGTCTATATGAGTGAGTATATACTGTGTGTGTCTTTCTGCTTCTGGGATAGCTCACTCAGGATGATCTTTTCCAGGTCCCACCATTTACCTGCAAATGTCATGATTTCCTTTTTTTTTTTTTTTTTTTTTTATATAGCTGAGTAATATTCCATTGTGTAAATTTACCACAATTTCTGTATCTGTTACTCAGTTGAGAGACTTCTGAGTTGTTTCAAGTTTCTGGCTATTACAAATAAAGCTACTACAAACATGGTTGTACAAATGTCCTGATTGTGTTCTTGATCCTCTTTTGGATATATGCCTAGGAGTGTTGTAGCTGTATCTTGAGGAAGCACTATTCCTAGTTGTCTGAGAAAGTGCCAGATTTATTTCCAAAGTGGTTGTACAAGTTTATATTCCCACCAGCAGTGGAGGAGGGTTCCCCTTTCTCCACAATCTCTCCAGTATGTGTTGCCATTCTGATTGGTGTTAAGGTGAAATCTCAGGATCATTTTGATTTGCATTTCCCTGATGTCTAATGACATTGAGCATTTCTTTAAGTGTTTCTCTGCCATTCTATATTCCTCTATTGAGAATTCTCTGTTTAACTCTGTTCCCCAATTTTTAATTGGATTACTTTATTTGTTGCTGTTTAAATTCTTGAGTTCTTTATACATTCTGGATGTTAGCCCTCTGTCAGATATAGGGTTAGTGAAGATCCTTTCCCAATCAATAGGTAGTTGTTTTGTTCTGAAAACAGTGTCCTTTGCTTTAAAAAAGCTTTTCAGTTTCATGATGTCCTATTTATTGATTGTTGATTCTAGAGCCTATGATGTTGGTGTTCTGTTCAGGAAGTTGTCTCCTGTGCCAATGAGTTTTAGGCTCTTCCCCACATTTTTCTTCTAACAGGTTCAGTGTGTCTGGTTTCATGCTGAGGTCTTTGATCCACTTGGACTTTAGTTTTGTGCAGAGTGATCAGTGTGGATCTATTTGCATTTTTCTACATGTAGACATCCAGTTAGACCAGCTCCATTTGTTGAAGATGCTATCTTACTGCCATTGTAAGATTTTGGCATCTTTGTCAAAGATCAAGTGTCGATTAGTGTATGGGTTAATTTCAAGATCTTCTCTTCGATTCCATTGATCCACCAGTCTGTTTCTACACCAGTAACATGCATTTTTTACAATTGTTACTCTATACTACAGCTTGAGATCAGGGATGGAGATAACTTCCAGAAGATCTTTTATTGCACAGGATTATTTTGGCAATTCTAGGTTTCTTGTTATTCCATATGAAGTTGAGAATTTTTCTTTTAAGGTCTGTAAAGAATTGTGTGGTTATTTTCATGTGAATTGCATTGAATCTGTAGATTGCTTTTGGTAAGATGGCCATTTTTACTATGTTAATCCTGCCAAGCCATGAGAATGGGAGATCTTTTCATTTTCTGATATCTTCTTCTAATTCTTTCTTCAGAGACTGGAAATTTTTTCATACTAAAAAGTCTTTGACTTTCTTGATTAAGATCACACCAAGTTACTTTATGTCCTTTGTGGCTATTGTGAAGGGTGTTGTTTCCCTAATTTCTTTCTCAGCCCTTTTGTCTTTTGTATACAGGAGGGCTACTGAGTTTTTTTTAGTTAAATTTGTATCCAGCCACTTTGCTGAAGGTGTTTATCAGCTGTAGGAACTCTCTGTTAGAATTTTTTGGGTCACTCAGTTATACTATCATATCATCTGCAAATAGTGATACTTTGACTTCCTTTCCATTTTGTATCCCCTTGATCTCCTTTGTCTTATTGCTCTAGGTAGGACTTCAAGAACTATGTTGATAAGGTATGGAGAATGGGCAACATGATTTCAATGGGATTGATTTATGTTTCTCTCTGTTTAGTTTGATGTTAGCTATAGGGTTGCTATATATTACCTTTACTATGTTTAGATATGTGCCTTGTATCCCTGATCTCTCCAATACTTTAAACATGAATGTATGTTGGATTTTGTCAAATGCTTTTTCAACATCTAAGGAGATTATCATGTGTTTTTTTTTTCCTTTGGGTTTGTTAATATGGTGGATCACATTGATGGGTTTCCGTATATTGAACCACCCCTGCATACCTTGGGATGAAGCCTACTTGGCCATAGTGAATGATATCTTTGATGTGTTCTTGGATTCGGTTTGCAAGTATTTTGTGAAGTATTTTTGCATTAATGTTCATAAGGGAGATTGGCCTGAAGTTCTCTTTCTTTGTTGGGTCTTTATGAGGTTTAGGTACCAAGATGATGTTCCTTCTGTTTCTATTTCATGGAATAGTTTGAAGAAGATTGGTGTTAGTTCTTCTTTGAAGGTCTGGTAAAATTCATCACTGAAACCATCTGACCCTGTTTTATTTTATTTTATTTTGTTTGTTTTTTCTTTTTCTTTTTTCTTTCTTTTTTTTTTTTTGGAAACTTTTAATGACCACTTCTATTTCCTTAGGGGATATAGGACTATTTAATTGATTTATCTGGTCTTGATTCAGCTTTGGTAAGTGGAATCGATCAAGAAAATTGCCTGTTTCATTTAGATTTTCAAATTTTGTGGCATATAGGCTTTTGAAGTAAGACCTAATGATTGTTTGGATCTCCTTAGTTTCTGTCATTATGTCCTCCTTTTCATTTCTGATTTTATTGATTTGGATAGTGTCTCTTTGTCTTTTAGTTAGTTTGGCTAAGTGTTTGTCTATCTTGTTCATTTTCTCAGTGACCCAGCTCTTGGTTTCATTGACTCTTTGAATTGTTTTATTTGTTTCTAATTGATTGATTTCAGACCTGAGTTTGATTATTTCCAGCTGTCTACTCCTTTTTGGTGTGTCTGCTTCTGCTTTTTCTAGGGTTTTTAAGTGAGCCATTAAGTTGCTTGAATGAGCTGTCTCGAATTTCTTCTTGAAGGCACTTAATGCTATAAACTTTCCTCTTACCACAAGTTTGTGTATGTTGTGCCTTCATTTTCATTGAATTCTAGGAAGACTTTAATTTCTTTCTTTATTCTTTCCCTGACCCAACTGTCATTTAGAAGCAAGTTGTTCAGTTTCCATGTGTGTGTAGGCTTTTTGTTATTTCTGATGTTCTTGAGATCCAGCTTTAGTCCATGGTGATCAGACAGGATACAAGGAATTATTTCAATCTTCTTGTATCTGTTGAGACTTGTTTTGTGACCAACTA